AAAAAAGAAAAAAGAAAAAAAAAAATTGTTATAGTTGTTATACACATGGCTAATTAAAAGGCAACATACACATGACTTATTATCAGTTGTTATAGTTGTCTTACAAATTGTTTTCCATATTTCAAATAAACAGCTGCTCATTGCCCATTCAATGCTGCATATCTCATAGTATTATATTTTCACCCGAACTTTATCACGTCTGTTTAGTTTTTACTCATTGAAAGACTGATCTATATATTTGTCACAGGAAACTAAGCAACATAAGAGAATAGAAAGTATATTTCAACTACTTCTGTTCGTGCATGAAACAGAAGATAGACCAATGAAAAGAAGATAGACTAATCATACACAATACGTCGATACGGAAAAATCAAACTTCCTCACCATTTGAAGCTGTAACATTACAATTATGTCACCTTTTAGCAATGGAACTTGCGAATTTGTCGTTTTCGTAAGCTGGTTCCCGTTTGCAGTGGTGATAGCTGTGTGAACCTCACTTCCTAGTTCCTACTGTCATAAGCAACAATGAATATTAATATAAAGCAACAAATGTTGGAAGACATGTCTTTAACTGATATTTATTGATTGCCCTCAAAAATTCTGAACTGAAAGATATTGTTATTACACAGTTGCAGCATTAGATGTGATTATTTTCAATCCAAGGTGATGTATTTTCATAATTTTTCAGTATTCTTCGGTGAAAGGTTGAAGAAGCTTGTGCACAAAGCACTTGATAGACAATAGTAAAGGGGAAAATACCCCACGCTTAAAGGAAGTACGAAAAATAGGTAATACCTCCAAATAATAAGAGTAAAAAAAGCCCATATAACCCAGAACACAGATAAATCAATGAGTTCAAATCATTATGCAAACACAGAACACATGAAAATTCACCTCATCTAATTCGAATGCGATGGTACTCCACGAACCTCACGAGAACTACGGCTGCTTTGAATATAATCAAGCCCACGGATTTGGTTTAAAACCCACGGTTGAATCATTTATAACCCCGTTATTCTCCTTAAAAAAGATGAGTGTTGCCGTTGATGCGGACGAAACTTCTGAACAACTTGTGTAGATTGAGTTATCAAATTGCAGCAGACGTTAAGAATCTCAGAGACTAAAATCACTTTTAACATCAATTGCGTGAAGATCAAGTTACAGGGGAGTTTTGGTATAAAATTGCATCTCTGTTAACTTCGATCCAACTAGAACCAGCTTCCTTCATCACCTCCTTGTCCCTCATTGTGTTCCTAACGCCACCCACATCTTCCCATCTCCCATGCAGCGCATAAATATTTGACATCATCACATATACAAATTCATTATCACCTTCAAGCTCGGTCAACTTCCGGCCCGCCACCTCAGCCACTTGTATATCCCCACAGGCAACACACGCACCAAGCAAGGACTTCCAAACCACCCCGCAACAACCGAAACCCAGCTCGATAATCATCTTCTCGGCCTTGCTTAAATCCCCTTCTTGCCCCATCATCTTTATCATCAGTGAACAATGTTCGGGCAAGGGATTAATCTTATAGTCCAAGATCATCATCTCGAAATACTTGTTCGCGACCTTCAAAGGGATCCTACTATGCCAACAAGCTGACAAGACGTTTAGAAAAGTAATTTCATCCAGCTGCAAATTTTCCATTGTTCTCATCCGCTCGAAAAGCTCGATTACCTTCTCAGGACAACCATTGTGTGCGTACCCAGACATTAATATGTTCCAAGTGACCAAATTTCTTTCTGGCAGTGAATGAAACATACACTGAGCCTGCTCCACCTGCCCGCACTTAAAATACATGTCTATAAGAGCACTCCCCACAACAACATACAAGTCCAGACCTCGCTTAAGTGCACAACAATGTATCAGGCTTCCCCAAACAGCAGCAGATAAACTTGCGGCACCGGACAAAATACTTGATAATGTAAACTCGTCCATGCGGACCCCACCAGAGTGCATCCTGCAGAAACACTCGAAGGCCTCTCTTGCTCTGCCTCTGTTTGTGAACCCTGTTATTATAGAATTCCATGAAGAAGAATTTGGGCTGGGCATCTTTTCTAACACGTGTATAGCGTCTTCTAAGGCCCCAAATTGTGCAGTGCCAGAAATAAGCTCGTTGTACGAGATTGTGTCAGGATCAGGCATCTGGAACAAAAGAGCAAACGCGTTTTCAAGCTTCCCGTTTCTAGCATTAGCTGCTATTACAGAATTCCAGGAGAAGCTGTCCCTGCCAGTCATGTATTTGAAAACCTTCATAGCCTCCTCAACCTGACCACACTTTCCATACATGTCGATCAAGCAATTCGAGGCAAAAACACTGCACTCAACGCCATGTTTGATGATCTTGGAGTGCACGCAACTCCCCCCATAAACCATTCTCAGCTGCCCACAAGCCGATAAGGCAGCAGTAAAAGAATACGAATCTGCACAAATGTTGGATTTTTCTAGCTGAACAAACAGCTCCAGTGCCTTTCGAAACTGCCCAGAATGTACATATCCTGAAATCAGAGAGTTCCAAGAAACTATGCTTGGTTCAGGAATTTCAACAAACATGTTGCGGGCATCATGCAGCCTCTCAAACTTAACATAGAAATTAACCAAAGCCGTGGAGACGAAGACGTTAGAAATGAACCCAGACTTCAGAATGTAGGTATGGAGCTGTTCGCCATGCGGGAAAAGGCTGGTGTTCATACAAGCACGAGCTAAATGGACTAGTGTATAGGCATCAGGCTTGGAGCCAGAGCGAAAGAGTTGTGCGGCTTTTGTCAAAGCTTCGTCTGAAACATGCCCTCCAAGATTCAGTTCTGATACGATACTGGTCCATGAGATGGGCTCATTTTCAAGTGTAGAATGATAACTTCTGCAGATTTGTTTCGGAGCAATGGGCCAACTAATACTACTGAAAATTTGTGTTCTTGAGGATACTTTTGCCAGTAACATGAGGCAACAGATTCACGGTATATGGAAAAAGGAAAAATCACCGAGCCCCCTACACACGTCCTCCCTTGTTTGAAATTCCATTTTCTTGAAAAATAAGCAGCAAATGCAAGATAAATCCCTCCTCCCATATTCAAGTTCCTTGTCAGTCCCTAAATTAATTTTATTCTTCTGCACTCCCTAACACATACTTTCTTTTTCCACTTCAGTCCCCCTATATATAATAATATTATTACTATCGATTTATTTTACTTGAAAATAGAAAAAAATAGTAATTTCTCTCTTAATTCTCGTCTCTCTCTCATACGCTCTATCAGTTCTCATCTTTCTCTGAATCTCTCTTCGTGAAATTGCCTCCGGGAAATCTGGATCTCCGGCGTCCGAATCGACACACAGGAAGAGCTCGCGAGGCCCATCCACATTCGTAAAGAAATAACCGAAAAAAAAAGTTTCCAGGCCTCGTACCGCGATTACGAGGATCCCGATGGCTTCTCCTCCAGAGGTGAAGAAGACGATGACGGGACAAATTCCATCCCGGAACTGTTCCAGCGTGACCGTTGTCGGAGGATCTTCGTTTGGACATCTGCACAGGCCGGGGGCAGGCAGTCACCGATTCAGAGTCCGATTCCGAGGTAAATCTAGGGCTTGTAACGATGGCGATTATTACGATCCTTTTTATGGTTTTAACGATAATTATCGTGCTGGTGATAACGAGAGGGACGATTCTGAGTGGGAATAGGTGAGTGAGAGAATTCACTTTGATAAGAGGGACAGTTTGGATCTGGTTTCAATGGAATCGAAGAAATATATGTTTCCTCTGATATTTTTACTTCGGTTTCTGTCCAAATTTCTGCACTTCGTCTCCCGATTTACCTTTTCTGCTGCAATTTTTCCTCAATCGTCATTTAGTGGTCGCGGTCTTCAATCCTGTAGCGACGTGTTCAGTCGAGATTTTCTATTCCCAGCGTGTTAGCTGCGATTCTTTGGTTACTCCCCTGGCAGGCTACTCGTGATCCCTATTTTGCGAGATATCAAGTCCAGATTCAACGTATTTCGAGATTCCAAGTGAGTCGAGTTTTCGGTTTGTATGTGTTTATTCTCTTTTAGGCATACTTTTTCTTGATTTGTGGTGCTGGTTGCGATGTGTTAATCTTGATGTGTGAATCACGTTTGTATTGCTCGTTTTCTTGTGAATCTCACACGAATTGATGCTCCCAGACTTCCGTGGCGTGAATTAAGTTGCTTTCGGATGCTTTGCCCTTACTCGCAATTTTTATATGATTCTCGACAGGAATTTTCTTAATCCTTGATGTGTGTCGCTCCTGCTAGTTTCTGATTTTTCGCGAGATGCTCTCGTGATGGGCGGATTGCTCTTTTGTTTTAGATTAGTAGCGATTCCTGCTTTTACGTGTTGTGCTTGTCTTTTTGGGTTGCATCCTTGTTTGGTTCGTTTCCCTGTGGCTAAGTCGATTGCTACTTTGTATGTTGCTCGCATACATCTCTTTTAGCAATATGCAGAATCGATCATTTGCATTCCATTATAAATCATTCTCCAGCTTCCGGTGGCGGATTCATGCTATTTGACTTGCTGTATCAAATCCTGTTATGCATATGCGCTACATATATTTTTTTGTTTTTAGCTGCAACAATGCTTTAACTTCATTTTGCTTGCAGCTCTAATAACAGTAGTGGCTAGCAGCTCAAATTCTACCATAGCCTGCTCATGGCTTTTGTAGCAGCTCGCAGATCGGATAATAATATACCCCACTCGAGGCTTTTGTTGCATCTCGCAGCTCAAATTTCACGATAGCCCGTTCAGAGATTTTTGTAACATCTCGCAGCTCAAATTTTTTGTCGTAGCCCGCAGCTCGTGCCAACTTGCAATTCGCAACTCAAAGTTGTAGCTCGCTCCTAATTTCATTCTTTGTAATTTTAGTTAGTGGTAGACATGTTAGTTAATCTAGTTCACGTTTGTCTTAAATATGATACGATGTACATTGTACTATAATTTTTAATGTTTGTTTTCATACCAGATATCAGGTCTTCAGTGCCAGCACCGACGAACATAAGAAAAAAAAAAAAAGAATTCCGTAAAATGGTATCAGTTTTTTTCACAAATAGTACCACTTCTTCTTCTATGCAGTATCGATTATTGATGAATTAGTACATACTTTGTAGAAAGAACAAAAAATAGATTACATCAAATTTGGTCAACATTTTAAAAATTGGTACCAGATATTGGGTCTTCATGCAAACTCCGACGAACATAAAAAACACCGAAATTCGGTCTCAAATAATGTTTACATGACCAAAAAATATTCTCGATTAGCTTCTATGAGATTTAGAATGTGTTTAATTAAGTTTAATTGCAAATTGGTCAAAAACTCAACACACAACATGAAAATACACTACTAATACACTTCATCTCATTGGTCATATGTGATTTAAAATATTTTAATTGAGTTTAATCACAAATTGGTCATGAACTCGACACACTAATGAGAAAAAAACTACTAATACACTTCATTTCATTGAATGACACTTCACCTCATAGAATCATCTTACATGACTACTCCAAATTATACATATATGCTTTAACTTCCACAATTTTCATCCAAATCACGCGTAAACGATCCACTTGAAAAGGCAAAGTTTAAAAAAAAAATGATTCTTAAAATAGTACATGTTTTAGCCAAAATAGTACCACATCTTCTTCTTCGTGGTACCTCTTTTTGATCGATTAGTACCTACTTTTGTAAACGAAAATGGATAGTTTTAATTTTGGTCAATATTTACAAAAAGTAGTACCAGACCTAGACTAAGATAGTACCATTTTTCTATTGTGTTAGTACCAGATATTAGGTCATCAATACCACTTGAAGCGAACACATAAAAACTCTGAATTTCGGCCTCAAATGATGTTTATATGACTCAAGATCACTCTCATATTAGTTTATATGGGATTTAAAATATTTTTAATTGAGTTTAATGCAACTTGATCATGAACTCGACACAATAATTAGAAAATACTGCAAATACACTTCATTTCGTTGAATGAGACACTTCATCTCAATAGATTCATCATACATGACTACTCCAAATTCTACTTATATGTTTTGACTTACACTATTTTTTATTCAAATCATGCGTTAAAGATCCACGTGAAAAGGTAGACATGAAAGATTTAAAAAAGCACGATTCTTAAAATAGTACCTGTTTTGGCCAAAATAGTACTACATCTTCTTATGCTTGGTACCTCTTTTTTATCGATTAGTACCTACTTTTGTGAATGAAAATGGATTGTTTCAATTTTGGTCAACATTTACAAAAATAGTACCAGACCTAGAGTAAGATGGTACCAGTTTTGTATTGTGTTAGTACCAGATATTGGGTCATCAGTACCACTTGTAACGAACACATATAAACACCGAATTTCAGTCTCAAATGATGTTTATATGACCATGATCACTCTCACATTAGTTTATATGAGATTTTAAATATTTTTAATTGAGATTAATCACAAATTGGTAATGAACGCTCGACACAGAGAAAACACTCATAATACTCTTTATTTTATTGAATGAACACTTCATGTCATAGAATCATCATACATGACTACTCCAAATTCTACCTATATGTTTTAACTTCCACTATTTTTCGTCCAAATTATGCGTGAACAATCCACGTGTCATGGTAGACATGAAGGATTAGAGAAATCACGATTCTTAAAATAGTACACGTTTTAGCCAAAATAGTACCTTCTTCTACGTGGTACCTCTTTTTGATCGATTAATACCTACTTTTGAGAACGAAAATGGATTATTTCAATTTTGGTCAACATTTACAAAAAGTAGTACGAGACTTAGAGTAAGATAGTACCAGTTTTCTATTGTGTTAGTACCAGACATTAGGTCATCAGTACCACTTGTAACGAACATATAAAAACACCGAATTTTGGTCTCAAATGATGTTTATATGACTTAGGATCACTCTCACATTAGTTTATATGAGATTTAAAATATTTTTAATTGAGTTTAATTGTAAATTGATCATGAACTCGACACACTAATTAGAAAATACGGCTATTATACTTCATTTCATTAAATGACACACTTCATCTCATAGAATCATCATACATGACTATTCCAAATTCTACCTATATATTTTAACTTCCACTATCAAATCATGCGTGAATGATTCACGTGTCATGGTAGAGAAGAATGATTAGAGAAATCACGATTCTTAAAATAGTACTTGTTTTAGACAAAATAGTACCGCATCTTCTTCTGC